AATTAAATTATAAAATTGACCCAAATAACAAAGACCCATAGTCAATCTAACCTTAAATCACAACACCCATCAATTACCCACGCTAAGGTTGAGTCACAACCCTAGCTAATGGGTCTAGCTACTCATTCTTGAAGAGAAAATCAGAGAAATAGATGAAGAGAAAGACATAATAATTAATTACTAAAGTAAATACAATGATTCAGTGATTAAAACTACGTAAAAGTGCCCAAAATGGCTAAGAAAAGTCTTCTCACGAGCGCAGCTACTGTATTACAACGTCAGATGCCCTAAAAATGGAAAGAGAATCTATTTATATTAAGCTGGAAAAACTGGACAAAATTACCCATGCGGGGTCAGTGCGGACCGCACAAAATGGTGTGCGGCCGCACTAGGCTCTTGAACTTGAAATTTTGACTCTCTAAACCCAGGCTCCGCGGACCGCACAGAATGGACTGCGGCCGCGGAGGCTTTCAATGCGGTCCGCGCAGAATGGACTGCGGACCGCACAGACTTCATCTTCTGAATTTGGCATCTCTTTGAACTTTGGTTCTGCGGGCCGCACAGAACGGTCGTGCGGCCGCGGTGCCTCAGTGCGGACCGCACAAAACCTTCTGCGGCCGCACTGCCTTGATGCCTGAAAATCTATCTCTCTGAATCTCCCTAGTGCGGACCGCACAAAGTGTAATGCGGCCGCACTAGGCCTGATTCTCCTGAGTTTTGTCTTGTCTTTGGCACTTGTGCAAGTTTCACTCCTTTTGAGCCGATCTTTGACATCTTGTCACTTTGTTCGTCAAACCTGCAATCAAGCACAACTTATGAGCCTTTTGGTACTATTTTGTATGAAATTATAATCAAAGCATAAGCACAAAGGGGTATAAAATGCATCAAAATCCCTAGTTATCAACATACACACGTACAAGCCTATGGTACGACCTCAGGATGCACATGAATTTCTTTGTGAGTGTGAGTGAATTATTTCAATTTGTAAGTCCTTAAAAATACTTAAATGCATATTTGAGTGTATCGACTAATTTATCTCTTTGATTGTGGTGAGAGCACATGATTTACGTAGGATTGGTAAAGTCTAGGTTAGAAGTGAGTCATAGTAAGGAATGTATTGGAGTCATCTCTTGAGGTTAGGATGTTAGAAGAAGTCGCACGAATATTTTAAATAGTCTTGGCATGGGCCTACTTTTGAAGAAAAATGTCAATAGATCTTATGTTGGGTTCTAAGTGTTGGTATAAACCATTGTCATTGGTGTGATGCTTGAGTAATTTTTGTTGAAATGTGTTTCTTGCCCTTGTGCTTAATTTTAAAAGTTGCTCGAGGACGAGCAAGAGTTTAAGTGTGGGGGTATTGATAAATAGTTAAAAATGCATATTTTCCGGTGTAGTTTCATCTCATAACTTGTGTGGTTGCGGGAGGTTACATGAGTTTTTATGGTGAATTATGCTCATTATGTGCATTTTTATGTGTAGGAGCAAGTTGGACGAAATGTAAGCAAAAGAAGTTGATTCGGGACCCAAAGACAAAAGAAGGGCTTTGCTCATTCACTCTCGCGTGCACACGAGAGAGTGAACGAGCTAGCTGAGGAAAACTTGGGAAAAAAAAACAGTGAACTAAGCTAAATAAGCATGGAAGTGCACAAGAGATTTGGGAGGCAAAGAAAAAGAGGAGTACTTCGCTCGTTCACTCTCGCGTGCGCACGAGAGAGTGAATGAGCTAACCTATAACGGTTATTTCGAAGTGGGCTTGTATTATTTCACCCCATGCTAACCATATCCCATACAAATAGTCTTTAAACTCACTTTTGAAGGGAAGAATCGACCGAAGGCGGCACGAACACACAAGGAGCAAGACGGAGAATTCTTCTACGAGTTTTGCACTTTCTTCTTCTTATTTCCATTATTGGTTATGAATATTAGTATTGTAGTTGTGCAAACAATTATGAGTAGCTAAACTCTTTACTCTAGGGTTTGATGGAACCTCTTAGAGGATGAATTTTTGTAGCGTTTAATATCAGTTTGCTATTGGATTTTCTCTACTTATTCAACTACGTGATTATTTTGGTTGATTGAAGTACCTTCAATTGACTATGCCTATTTAGTGTGTATTACTTGAAAAAAGGTACATATTTAGGTAGTTGTTAAACAACATCACTCCTAACGTATATGAGGGATCAATATGGAGGATTTAAAGGTGAGATTATGAATAACAAAACCTTCATGTGAACTTAGTGAGCGGTGAACTAATGCCAGTTAGCGTATTTTGGAAGAATACATCTAGTAAATTGTTGTAGTTGCTCGGAAGAGAATTATGACATCTAAAGTGCTCACGATCGGTAGAGAATATCTAAGCGAATTTATAGAAGACGTAGCGGGGAGGATTCCGATAAGAGGGGAAATCGTAACCCTAGACTTTTCCAATCTTGTCTACAACATTTGCTTGTTAGTAATAAAAATACACCTTTTTAATTACCTTGGTTTTAGTTAGTAAACACTCAACTCATTATTCAATATTTCTGGAAGTTGATTACTTGAATTCTTGCGAAACTAGCAGTTGTGATTAGTAGGTTAATTCCCTATGGGATTCGATTCCGGATTTGTAAATTGGATTATATTTGCAACAACCGCTTAGTCCTTTTTCTAAGGCATAGTTGGGCTGATCAGTTGTCTTTCCATGTCGTATGTTTTTAGGAAGGCAAATAAAGTAATGGATATGCGGACTCACTAGGAAAAATCAATAACAATACTTTGTTTGGAATCACAGACTTTCTTTTGGGGTTTCACCTTTACATACTTTAGTTACTTTCGTAATAACTTAAGTGGAATTATATTGACTAGATCAGTTACCGCTTGTAATAATTTATCTTAGACCTTGTTTTACTACTTTGAATAATATATGCGTATCATTTTCAACAAAAAAAAAAAAAAAAGGAATACACACAAGACTATATGGTACGTAGAACCCTGATGGATCAAAGAATTTAGTAGGGGGAAACAAAATTCCTATTTGAAAACAATAGCATTAATATCTAAGATGTCTATCACTCTCCTATATATTTTAAATCTATGCACAGTATGGAGGGGAATTTGATAGAAACTGCAAGTCTAGAAAAACATTTTAGCAGATAACAGTATCTTTTATGTACATCTTGTATCAATACCTTTTATGTGAGATTACTTGTAATTATTTTTTAAATGACTTGATAGTGTAATTTGTTTACACTGACAATGTATAAAAATTAAAATCTATATAAATACATATGTTAGTTCAAAATTTATTTAGATTAAAGCGGTTTAACTTCATTACTTCCTTACTTGGAGATATTTTCGTACATTTGGTGGTTAGCTAACTCTGACAACCGACAATTTAATTAGTTGCCAACAACTATAATAAACATAACTTTCCTTGAAAGAATATAGTACCTAATAAATCTGATAATCTGAAAGATATTAAAGGAATCTTAAAAGGGAATCTATCAATATTACACAGTTATTGTAATTATTGCACGGTTGGACTTTGTAGTATTAGTCATTGTCTTAATGAAAAATTGCACGGGTAAGTAATTTAACTATAGATTCTGTAGTTCATAAAGAATATATATAAATAGAGTCAAACCCCTCTTGTGTTTAAGAGGTTATATGTTTCATCTTTTTCAGGGCATTAGAACTAATCTCTGTTGCTTTTAAACAGATTTAGTTGTACTTATATCTCAATCTTCAGGTAATTATATCTCAATCTGAATAAAAAGATCATATATTAAAATATGTTTTAATCTTCTATACTTTCTAATTTCAACATGTTACTATTTTTATTGCAGGAAAGGAGAGGTAGATATATATAGGAAGAATTCTGCAACTGTGATGGTAAGTTAATTTCTACCAATTATTCATGTCACTTAATGAAATTCCTTGTTCTATTTACTTGACCCTTTAATCTTATTTAGTTGAAACACAAGGAATTTTTTTTTAAACTAAGCATATATGGTACATTCCTAGTATGAACAATTTAATAAGTAGTTCTTAGATGGGGAAAGTTTTATTATTATTTTATGAGCAGAAAGAAACGTGTGGTTTACTAATTTATTAATCTGCACAAGTAATTACAAGCATAGTTAATGTACGTACTTTGTTTTGATTGGTTCATTTGTTCAAAGGATGAGTTGTAATAAGACTACTCTTGTTCTTTTGAGAATAGATATACATTATCCAATTCTTGTCCTTTTCCTCTTTTTTTTTCTGATTTTTTTTCTATGTTTTACCGGCTTTTTTTGGTTTTTCTACTACTAGCCTATTCCTTTCTTTATGTTTCCTCCGATTATTTAATTTACTCGCTTTAAATTAAGTGAATTTTAACTAGTGATTAATGTGTTTCTGTGATATTTAATCTATTTAACTCTAAAAATTAATTAAAATAACATTCAAAAACTTAACAAACTTCCCCAGAACCTACGGAAGCACAGTGGACACAACAACAAGTTCTCTATACCTACAAGAATGGAGCGATTTAGAATTTAAAAGAGAGAATTACGGCAAGATGAGTCGTTATTATTACGATAGGTGTCAAGTAAAAATATAGTGACATACGTGAGGCATCTTAATGGATCCCGATAGTCATGCCCTCCTTCCACATGACCTGATTAATTCAACAAGGCACCCGCCATCTATTTTCACTGTTATTAAAAATTATTTTTAATACTACTATAATTTACATAAAAATAATTATGAGCTATTTTCTTAAACCATCATGCCACATAACTTAATCTGTTTTAACTTTGAAATTTTCACATTTTCTTAACGAACTTTCCACCAAAACGACGAAAACAGTTGCTCGCTCTGTTTTAAGCTTTTACCTAGTCCCCTCTCTTCTATCCCCAAGATTTATCTGACGGCGACGTCAGAAATTCCGTTACTCAACGAAACGATTCCCGTCACATTAAACGGCTGTCAAAAACCCAGGACCACGGAAATGACAGCACTACTCATCAGCCAATAATAAGAACCACAATCGGACGAAATTTGTTCTCATCCTCACCCTCTTTTTCTCTATCTCTCTTCTCTGCAAAAGAAGGTCTGCTCAGTGAGTACTTTAATTTAAGGGAAAGTAAATTTCTGAAATTCTTGTTCAGAGCTTCTGTTATAGAATTGAAGATAGAGAGATTTCATTAGTTTGTGTACGATCGAGGAGGGTCAGCGAGCTCAAATACTAATAATTGAGTTCGAAATTCAATATTTATAGCTAATTAGCATATATAGAATCTACGCTATTGTTATTGAATAAAGCCTACGTCTACATATGGTAAATAAGTGAGAGGAATTGATGGGAAGGTATATGAGGAAGTGCAAGGGAATTGGAGAGGTGACAATTATGGACGTGTCAGATGATGTAGATTTGGACGTGCCGACTATGACGACGAAAAAGAGGAAGTTATCAAGTGATGGAGATGTGAAGCTCATATCTCCTGCTCTACTTCGCTGCAGAAGTCAGTCCGGAGTCGGAGATGCGCAGGCCGGAAGTTTGGTTTCTCCGGCGAGTTCGGTTAATTTAAATGATGCTTCTAACTTAGATCAGGATTTAGCGTCTTGTTGCTCAAGGAATGGATCAACGGAGGTAACAAAGAGCAATGCAAAATCCCTAGATCTGAATGTACGACGCTTCTGAGTATAACTTACTTAGAATTCAATGAGTATAACTTACTTAGAATTCAATTTTCTCCCATATATATATATATATATAATATATATATATATATATATATATATATGTGTGTGTGTGTGTGTGTGTGTGTGTATTCGTGTGTATATATATAGTATATATATGTATATATGTTCAGACTCAGAATATGTATTTTGCATTTAAAATCTGGATATGATGAATATATGTGAAACTTGAATTTTGAATCTTCTGTAATGCAGGAGAACAATGTGGTAGCGTCTGCAGAAAGGTAAAGAGTGTTATTATTAAATTTGTTTTTTCAGTTCAAAATTCATAAAAAAAATACTACTCCTAATTGATTTCAACATTTATACGATTACCAGTATTTAATTTAAAACGTACTTTTTGCAGTAAGGAGGAGAAATTATCAAGCGAGCGTCAACGAACGCCGGAGAAAATGCCGTCTGAAAAAGAGATTGAAGATTTTTTTGCAGTTCGCAAGAAAACTATATTTAAACGATTTAGAGAAAAGTACATTTCCCTCTCTCTTTTCTGGCCTTTTGTTTTCTTTCCTTTTATGTTTTTCCTCTGGCTTTTGTTAACTTTCAACAATATTTTTCCAAATTGACAAACATATTTAATTTTTTTTAATTACGTAATTATGAAGATTATAATGAATGTGTGTAATTGGTGAAGGTACAACTTCGACTTTGAGAAGGAGGAGCCATTGGAAGGTCGCTACGAATGGGTTCGAATAGCAAGTTGAAGACTGACCACAACAGTATCAGTTGCTGCTGCTTCTTTATTTATTTTTGCTGGTACTACACCAATACCTTGTTTAGGTGTTCGTGCTTTTCTTTCTAAATAATAATTATTCTTTTGTCTTTTTTAATTGAGGACTAGGATTTTGGAGATGAACAATTAATAGTGGATTAACAATGTAGGCAGCTCGCATCCAACTTTCTTCGTCTTCAATTCATATATTATTAAGTACTAGTAGTATTAATTTACTAATTTTCTCCGCCATAAAATTATATTTATTTAAATGAAGAGATACTTAATCCTCTAACTCCGCCCCCATGAGTGAGAGTACTTCCTCCGATATCTACGATAAGTGACCATTTTGCCTTTTTATTTTAGTTCAAAATAAGTGTCCATTTACATAATCAAGAAGGAATTAATTTTATTTTTCCAAAATTTGCCCGTATTTACATATTTCAATATGTCAATGTAACAATTAATTAAGGTTAATTTAATGAATACATCTTTTTTTCTCTAGGAGTTTGTATTTTCATAATGGGTGTGCCAATGATAAAACGGTCATTTATTGTGGACCAGATAGGAGTAATATAAGTGGCGGATGCACATAGGGAGTTGTGGGTGCTTAAGCACCCATTAACTTTGACCATATTAATAAGTTTATATAGACAACTGTACAAATATTTAGATAAATATTGAGCGAGCACCCACAAGTAAATTTATTTTTCCTCTTCTTTTGAAGTTTTTATCGGCGAGCACCCATAACTTTAAAATTCTGGATCCGTCACTGAGTAATATATAGGTCTAAAAGCCACTAAGTTCTCCTAGCAATTGAAGAGATACCATATGAGATGGAAGTGAAAGTGAGAGTGACAGCAACAGTAAACAAACAATATGTAGAAACAGCGCCAACAGGGCTTGCCGTATAAGTTACGGACACCTATTCAAAGAACGGGACGCCCCATGTGGATATGAGTTTTCTGGTCCCTTCACCTATACTCATTTTCATCACAAAGTAAAAGAGTACTTGCTCAATTGGGAATTATTATTACCACATTCTCATCACAAAACTGAAATATGTACTTATTCAATGTAGTTGTTTATGTACGAAAGCGAATTGGCGATGCAGTTTTCTTGCCCAATTGGATAGGACTAAGGACACATGAATCAGGTGTAGTGCAAGAATTGTAAAATTAGTATGGAGACTCTGAAAATTACACTAATTACAGCCAAATCGCTTCGCAGTTTTTATTTTATTTTATTTTTTAAAAATTTTCTGGATGCGTCATTGTGTATTTACTAGTAATGACAACTTAGAGGTGTTTGGCTAAGCGTATAAGCTGATCAAATTAGCTTATAAGTACTTTTCGGCTTATCTACGCGTTTGGTAAAGTTAAAAGTGCTTATAAGCCAAGTGCTTATAAGTCAAAAATAAGCCAAAAGCCATAAGTCGGTCACCCCCAACTTATTAATTTTTAGCTTATGAGCACTTAAAGTTTGACCAAGATTTTTACTATTTTATCCTTAAAATATTTCTTTTAGAATAAAACTCCTACATCGATACTCACACCCTCAAGTATTCAACCTAACCCCCCCCCCCCCTCTTCAAGTCTGCAATTCTCATTGACTATTTAAGATAAGCAAATTCTCTATTCCTTTGTATACTTATATCTATATAATTGTGTATCAATCTTTGAACTGTATGTAATTAATAAATGAGGACATACCAAATTTTTCGTGTATTACTTTCTAAGTGTTGTGGTGATGAAGACAATGTCTGTTTCTCTTCAAATAATTTGTCCTATTTAGGTTTATTTTTTACTGAGAAACTTTTGTCAATTTATTAATTATTTATAACTTATGATTATATGCTTATCATAAAATAAATTATATTTATCATAAAAATTATCTTATCTAAGCACAGTTGTATTTAAAATAAAATGAGAAATAGAAGATTTTGTATTTGAATCGATCTGGAATCTAAAATTTTGAAGAAATTACAAGTGTAAACAATTCTAAGGTTATTTAAGTCATTTTAACAGAAAAAGAGCTTGTCAGTACTTTTTTATCAAATACTGCAACAACTTATTATCAATTTTAGTACTTGTACCCAAATACATAACTGCTTATTTATAAAATCAGTTTCAGCACTTAAAAGCACCTAATGCTTATTAGCTACTTCAAATCAGCTAATCCAAACGGGCTCTTATTTGTCGAATAAATTGGGATTACTTGAAAAGACAAGATTAGCTATAGAGATGATATTACTAAAGATTAATCTCTGTATTATGTGAGTTGGGATCCCAGGAAAGTTTTGCAATTAATGAAAAGCAATGTAACAGCATTAATGAACTGTTTAGTTAAATTCTTGAGGATTAATCACCCAAAAAAAGGGCATAGGGCTGCTTTTTGAGTTACACTATTTAATACTATTCCGGTCCATTTTAAATGATTCTTTGGCCTTTTTTTGTGGTCACAATATTGGAAGAAATTAAAAAATAGCCAGATTTACAAGTGGTCGTTCAAAAATAGCCCAGTTTCAAAAGTAATCGAAATTTAGCCACTTTTCATGTAAAGATACTGAGCGAAAACACTGTTCAAAACCCGAAAAATACGTCAGTATATTATGCTGGAGTTCCAGCATAAGTATACTTGAACTCCAGCATATTATACTGGAATTCCAGGATAAGTATGCTGGAACTCCAGTATAATAAGATGGAGTTCCAGCATAAGTACACAAGAACTCCAGCATAATATACTGGAGTTCCAGCAAAGTATACCGGTCCAATATAATATGCTGGAAGTTCATACACAAGTGCTCGAATCTCCAGTATATTATGCTGGAACTTTCCGTGTGTTGGAGTTCCAGCATAATATGCTGGAAGTTCATGCACAGGTGCACCGAACTCCAGTATATTATGCTGGACCGGTCTCTATTGCAGCAAAATAGTGGCTATTTTTCATTGACTTGGTAAATGCTGGCTATTTTTGAATGACCAGTCTGAAAACTGGCTAGACCGTGCTATTTTTACACAATATTTGATTTTTTTTAGATATCAAGAAGGAATTAACTTCTTCTTTCTAAAGTTGCCCTTGGAGTAAAGACCCTAGGAGTAGTTTGTTATATTTTCAATGAGCAAATTAAGGTTAATATGGTCAATTTCATTGTTAATTAATGCTAAAAGGTGAATTGCAATATGTATGAATAGAGCCAAAAAATCACTTAAAGTGGACCGGACGGAGTTGACTTTTGGCCATCTAATTTAAAAGAGCTTAACCTTTGTAGCCATCCCTCCAGTTTTACTTGTTCATGTTTGAATTGGCACTTCTTAAAAAAACAATTAACAAAATGATATTTTTACTATATATTACTCATAATTATAATATATTGTGAAATGTATTGAAAATGATTAGTGTGGTACTTAATAATAAGAGTAAAGTAAGTATAAATAATAAAGTATTTCTTGGTTTTCCAGACTGGACAAGTAAACGTAAATATCTTTTTTAATATAGTGAGCAATAAAAATAGGCACAGAGAGTAATAAATAACTTGCTATATTTAGCAAAAGTATTGTTAATGGATAGTGGTTGCTATCATTTATTCTTTCCGGTCCACAATAAGTGACCAATTTGCTTTTGACACACCCATTAAGGGAATAGAAAATTCTAGACAAAAGTAGTTACTACTCCCTCCGGTCCAAAATAAGTAATTTTTTGAATGTTTTCACATATATTAAGAAATCCACCTTTTAGCATTAATTAGCAATGGAATTGACCATATTAACCTTTACTGTCTCACATAAACAGTCCTAACACATATTCCAACACTATTTGCTCCAAGGACAATGTAGGAAAAAAATAATTAAATCATTCTTGAAATCTGAAAAAATCACTTATTTTAGATCACAAGAAAAGGCCAAAAAATTACTTTTTTTGGACCGGATGGAGTATGAATAAACTACCCTTAATTAAATATTGCAGCATAGTTAATGTGAGGAGTAAAAAGACTTTTTACGGATACGTACATAAGAGTAATTTTGAAAAAACAAATTGAATTTTTCTTGGTTATATAAATAGATACTTATTTTGAATCAAAATGAAAAAGCAAATTGATTACTTATTATGAACAGGAGAGAGTACTACGAAAGCATTCTTCTTGGATCTAGTGAATACTGCTAGACCTTTCTTGTTTAGGGTACTGTCCTACTTCTACTTTTAGTAGCTGAGAATGAATTTCTATACCTTAGGTATTCCTAAATAGGAGTATTAGTTATCCGACTGGATTAAAGCCTGAGACTCGTTATTAATGAACCTCTCTGGAGATGTGCCCCTTAATTCAGTTATTAAAAAAGCTTCAGCTATATTTATTACGAGTACTATTACTAACTTCTTCATACCAAAAATTATCTGTCACAACTTTCCTATTTTTTTGTTTCTTACCCGGTATTAGGAATTTTTGTTGGGGCTCGATTGAATCAGAATTCGTACCGAAAAGTACCATATTTGGAGGTAAAGCGCTCGCTAATAAAGGTGACTCTATATCCAAGGCTCGAACTCGTAGCCTCTGGTTAAGGATGAAAAAATACTTACTACTCCACAACCCGTTAACCCTTGTTAACTTTACTTTTTTCTTTTGGTGCGAAAGATAATACTGCATTAACTAGATAAAGGTGTTGCTACAGAGACTCAGAGAGGGTGATGCGTAGTGTGCATCACATTAGTAGAGCTAGTTAGTTGGCTATTACAAGTCTGATCATGATATAAGATAGTACAAAATAAAGTCTGATCATTAGACAAAACGGAGTTTTCTACTATATTAACTCCATTGGCAGCTGTGAGGGCAGGTCCATCATTAGACAAAATGGAGTTTTTTGCGTGCCAAATCCTGAACTTTATCCAATTGGGAAACTGTTTATTATATCAGGATTTAACGTCTTGTTACATTTGGGGCTATACATGGAACAAGAATCCCATCACTGGGCTGAGTTTTAGCCCAAATATATTAACCAAATACTCCCTCTATTTCAATTTAGATGAAGTAGTTTGACTTAACACGGAGTTCAAGAAAAAAAAGACTTTGAAAACTTGTGGTCTTAAAATCTTAAGGGATAAAAGCTTTGTGGGACCTTGATATTTTTGTGGTTATAAAAGTTTCTGTCATGACCCGAATTTTCCACCCTCGGGATCGTGATGACGCCTAACCTTTCAGAATGCTAGGCAAACCAATAGATAGA